CAAGGCTGAGGCGGACCCCACCTCTCTGCCTTGGAAGCCCAAGAGGCCGTTAGAGTTAGAATTTTCCTCTGTGACACAGAAAGCGGGGCAGCCCGGAGAGCAGCTGGGCCAGCTGGAGCCTGACCCTGCGCCGCCGGGTTTGAGCGAGGCCACGGGCCTCTCCCAGCCCCTCCGCACCCTCCCGCTGGACCGGCCGCTACCCGGGGTGAGTGGGCCCCCTCTGCTCGCTGTGCCAGAGCTCACTGGGCAGACGCAGAGAACCTGAGACCCCGGGCTTCCTGCCTTGCCAAGGCCACGTGGCCAAACCCCAAGACTCGGGTGAGCACCCCACTCTCCCTCTCCCGCCCCAGCCTTTGCTCCCGCAGGCACCCGCACCAGGAGCCTACGCTCCCGCAGGCGGTGGGCGCTAACCAGCCCCTGGGAAGCAGCCGCGGACGCACCTCCTTTTCCCACTCTCGCCCTGTGCTGCCCTTTGGTTCCCCGGAACAGGCTGACATTTGCTATCATGAGCTTGCACCCCCCTCTCCCCGCAGCCAAGAGCTAATTGTCCTGATTTCCTTCCAAGAGAGCCTCTCTGAATCGCCTTCCCAGACACAATTAGGCAGGTTCAGCTTGATTTTCACACTCCAGCTCTGAAAAAATCAAATCAGCCAGGAAGCAGAGCCCCTCCAAGTTCTCTGAGAGCTCCTTTGTGTAGTGAACAAAGCACACACATAATTACCTGCTTAGATGATGAGCTCAGGACCCGGGCCCTGCTTGCAGGAGAGAAGGCGCCACTGCCCACCCCTGCCCAGCCCTGTCCCCACCAGCAGTTCTTGACAGCAGTGAGCCTTAGGCTGTCTCTGGGATATGCTGTAGGGTGACAATGCCCCAGAGCCCCCTGATCAGCTTCGCCACAGGTCACTAGTCACTACCTAGAGCATGCAGTCATGAATTGCTGGTGCCATAGGAGCAGCAAGTCCAACAGCCTCATTGTGAAGATGAGTGCCCAAGGCTCAGAGAGGGGAGGTTGAACCCAACTGAAAGCTAAGTCTCCCAGCAGGGGCTCTCGCCTGGGATGGACCACGAGCTAATCTAAGACGCACAGTCATCTTGGCCAAGATGGTAAGGACTCCCAGCCCCTGCAGATGGTTTTCTCCTGCTTGGGGCACCATATGGTGAGCAGGCTGAGGAAAGCAGGTCTTGTAGTTTTTCTGGGGACAGAGAAGAAAGAGGTCCTTTATCCCATGTGGAAAAACCAGGGCCCAGATGTCATACAGCAAAATGTAGCAGAGCTGATATTTGCCTTGAGGCTCCGCTTCCTGGGCTGGTGCTCACAACTCACACCACTAACCTCTCCACCAAAATGCTGCATCTGCAACCCGAGACGGCATCTTGATTGACCGAGAGGTGGCCATGGTTGACAGGCAACCCCAGAACACTCTAGGAATCTGCACATTCTGAATGAGGTCTGCAGCCTGTGGGAGAAGCCAGGTGGCTCCTCACCTATGACCTGGTACCACCACAGCTCTGTATACCTGGGCCGGCCCTCCACCTCAGGGCCCCTTGGTTTGCCCGTCTGGAGAATAAAGCAGTGCTGTCCTCTTGCAGGCTGCCCCGTGGAGCCCACGCAGTGAGGCCACAGCCACTTGGCACATGTGCAGAGGGAGACTGGGTTCTTGCACATCTGCCCAAGGATTCCCAGGCCACATCAAAGTCCAAGCATTGAACCCTGAGCTAATAAAGAGCCACCAGCCTAGGATGCAGCAAAGTGTGGTGCCAGGTGGCCCAGGCCCTGCATCCGGTACCTAGTCCTAACCTGAGCAGCCAGTGGGGTAATGCTTCCAAAGAGGAACAGGGTTGGGGTGAGGCTTGGGGCCAGGATGGCTGGGGAAAGGCCGTGGGGGACCGGCAGAGCAGCTGTGAGGTCCCAGAAGCAGAAGCATCAACATCTGCTGAGCCTGAGCTGGCTGGCAGTGGGGGGCTACGCAGGTGGTCCTGGGACAGAGGCAGAGGAGTGAGGGGACCGGAACCCTACGGTGAATGTAGGAAGGAAGGGGAGGGGCCGGGTACCAGGGAATTCTGTTGGATTTCAGAGAGCTGCCACTGAGCATCCTCTCTGGGTGGGCACTGGGGACCCCAGGATCGATCTACATTGGCCCTGCTCCTTGTCAGGAGGAGAGAGCCTGTCAGCCCAGAAAGCATTTGGGTTTTGGCATAAAATTCTGGGGAACAAGAAGAAAGATGCATCCGAAGGCAACCAGGGAGGCTTCCTGGAAGGGGAGCAGCCTGGATGGTACTAGACAGAGGAGGGGACCAAGACACGGGAGCAGACACTGAGCAGACACTGTCAGCCAAGAGGAGAGGCCTTGGGGAGAGCCAAGGAACTTAGCACAGGACCAAGGCTGAAGGCAGGAATCAATGAAGAGAGAAGTGCTCCCGTGGCCTCCTGGGACCCCTCTGCACCAGCGTCCCTTGCTTATCTGCTTATCGTCTCTGTAGCCAGAGTCCCCAGTGACCACCATCACAGCACCCAGGTACTGAACTGTTCAATCACCCTCCAAACTGAAGGACCTAAATCACTGAAGCCCTTGAGCTGAGGGTGCTCCGGCTCACTAGAAAATGGTTCTGTCGCATTAGGGAACACAGATCCCTTTGGGAATGCCACCCACCCCCACCTCACCTCTCAGTGCCAGATTGAAATAAAACCTGGGGCAGATTTGGCCTGAAACTGACAAGAACATAATGGAAATGGCTAATTCAAGGAAGAGGCTCAGACCCATCTCCTGGGCGGGCTGGCTGGCTGGCCCCTACTGGACCCCAAGGCACTGTTCTCATGCCTAATTGGTTCTCTGAAGGTGAAGTGCTGGGGGGAGCTCCCTGGTGCCTGCCCACTTGGGGTCAAGGTCAATGTCAGCTTCTGCTGGGACCCAACTGAGCAGCCGAACACTGAGCCATCCTGGTTGGGAATGACCAGGCTTCCTCAGCAAAGCCTCTCCCGCCCACCAACCTGGTTGTTATTTGAATTTAAATAAACGCAATGAGTTCAAGAGGCCCTATTACTCCAGACACAGAAAATGAAATTAGTGAGCCAGACCATTGCAATTGTATTCCAATCTCGTCCTCAGGGGAGGCAGATGGAGAGGAAGGGCACCGGGTACCGGGGCGGACTGGAACCGAGCTGTTCAATCACCCTCCAGGCTGAAGGACCTAAACCTAATGGCCTCAAGAAGACAGGGATGGCCCAGGGACCAGCCCTCATCCTCAGTTACTCACTGCAAGGCCTGGAGTCTGCTAAGTGCCCGAGGCAGGCAGCAGGACAGGTTGAGCAGGTTCAAGTCTGGGCCAGGCCACTTACACACTGTGGGAGCTCAAGTTGTAAGAAGGGGCAGAAGTTCTGAGCCATGGCCCTCACAGCCCCCTCCAGGCACAGTGGCTTCTCAGCCTCTCGACCTCCTTCCCCAGTTGACAGGTGGCAAGCCGAGGCCGGGCAAGCTAAATGACCTGGGTTCTCCAAGCTTTGCTTTTCTTTCCTTTCCTCATCTATAAAATCAAGATGGCGCTCCCCGCCCTGGGGGACTGTGGCCAGGATTGGTGTGCAAGGTCCAGGGAAACAGCCATCCCCAGTGGACACCCACGATGCTCCTTTCAGAAGCACATTGGTTCATTCCCTCGCCTCTCCTTTTGTTCTCTCCTTTATTTATTCATTCATAATTCATTCACTCATTCATTTAAAATAAATAGGCCAGCCGTGACGCCTCAGAGCCCAGCCCCAGGCACCTGCGCCCTCCACCCCCTCGGTTCCTGCAGGGCAGCCCTTACCTCCTCAAATAGGACCTTTCGTAATTCTAAAAATGGAAACGCCACAATATCAATCAGGGCTCAGATGGACAAGCCACAGCGTGTTGTGTGAGGGACACTCTCTGTACCGGAGACTGGGCTCCAGCTCCACATCAGCAAGGTGGCCCCAGCACAGTGATCCCGGGCGGTGACGAGGAGCACATCCCCTCCGCTTGCATTCGCAAGAAGCAGGGTTCCCCTCTGGCCATGCCCAGCTGGCAGCACCCTTGTAGGTCAGGACTGGGCCCGGACTGGGCCCAGGGCAGACTTCCTGGGTGTTGATGTGAGCTTTTTTGATCTATGATATCTGGCTTAGGAGACTGTCTTTTGGACAGCCCGGGGTGGGGGTGGGGGGAAAGTGCTTCATAGACAATGAGATACTGTGCACAGCGGGTCGGTCGGAGGCCGAGAGGCCAGTGAGATGTGGGAGCCAGCAACAGGGAAGAGAGGTGAGGGCTGAGCTGGGGGCGTGGAGGTCAGGAGGGGAGAGGACACAGAAGAGGGGACAGGGAGCAGGGGAAGGGACAGGTGATGCTGTGGGACCCAGGGAAGGGTGGGTCCAGAGGCCACAGAAGCAGCCAGGAACACATGCTTCTAAGAGCCAAAGAAGATGAGGACTGGCTAGGGTGTGGCTCAGTGGTAGAGCTCGCCTGGGGTGCGTGGGGCACTGAGTTCGATCTTCAACACCGCATAAAAAATAAATAAAGGTATCGTGTCCACCTACGAGGAGTGCTATCTTGATTTTACAACTAAAAATATATATTTAAAATAAAAGAAGAGGACTAAGGACCCACCTTTGGTTCTGGAGTCATGAAGGGCATTTCAAGGACAAAAGCAGGGGACAGAAGCCAGATTGTAGCTGGCTGAGGAGAAGAGATGAGGAAGGGGAATAAGATCCCCTGAATCCTACTCATGCTTCCAGGCCTAGCTCAAGGCCACCACCTCCTACAGGTTTCTGCTGATACCCCCTCCTCCTAAGGCCCCTTCCCTTTATGGCCTCTGCCATCCTGGCTGCCCCCTGCCCATGTGAACCAGGACTTCCTAGGACAGGGACCTCCACCACTGCATCCTGGCACACAGTAGGCACTTTAGAAATCTTAGCTCTCTATCCAGGAGTGGTGGCACTTACCTGTAATCCCAGCTCCTCAGGAGGCTGAGGCAGGAGAACTGCAAGTTCAAGGCCAGCCTGAGCAACTTAGCGAGACCCTGTCTCAAAAGAAAAAAGAAAAAGGCCTGGGAATGTGCTCAGTGTTGAGTGCTCCCCGGTTCCATCCCCAATACCAAAAAAAAGAAATCTTAGCCCTTTCCTCTCTTCACAGAAGCCAGGAGGAATTTCTTCCCCCAGATTCTGTTCCCCAGGTAATAAATCACTCTTGCCAAACAATTGTTATGTTTGTATTTCTGTGCGAAGGTTATTAGTATAATGACGGGACTTAAGTATTGCAATTCTTTTCTATCACAGTCATTAGCTCAGTGATTGCAATTTTGTGGTAATTTAATTTAGTTCTTTGTGCTTTCTGTCCAAACTTCCAGAAACAATGTAGCCCAGAATTGCATTTCAGAACAGACTTGAATATTGGATTCATGGTCATCCACAGGTTACTGATCAGGCACACCACAGAAGGTGCCAGGTCTTGCCTGCCTGGCCTCACTCGGCCCCCAAGACCCACCGCTCTGGGTCTGCCAGGTCTCCCTGACTCTTCTCCCTGGAGAAGGCTACCCATCGGGTAGCCGAGCAGGGAGAAGAGTTCGACAGCCCTGGGTGTTGATCTGGAAGCTTTGCTCAGAACCCATTTTACAGGTGAGGGAACCAGGCTCACAGGTTCAGCAATTTGCCCAGAAAAGGAAAGTAGCAGAGGAAGAGTGGAGATGAGGAGTCTGGCTCCAAACCCACACCAGGCTTCTTTGTGAACCGATTGTTGCAGAGACCTGGCATGGCGGGCCCTGAAGCAACCCCCTCTGGAGCAAAGGCCAGGCACAGCAGGTGCAAATAGGTGAGAGCCAGGTAGGACCGACACTCCACCCCCCCCAGGCAGCCCAGTCACCTGCCCCCCCAGACCCAAGTTGGCTGGTCTGTCTACCCCTCACAATGCTTAGGCAAATGCCCTGCACGTAGCAGAGGTATGAACCAAGGAAGGCGCTTGGTTTAGCACACTGGGAAGAGAGCTTGGGTGTTATGGTCTGGATGTGGGGGTCCCCGGAGCCCCTGTGTTATGCAGGAAGAAGGTTCAGAGGTGAATGGTTGGACTGTGAGAGCTGTAACCTAATCGCTCCATCTAGTTTGAGTGGACTGACTGGCTGGACTGTAGGCTGGTGGCAGTGGAGGAGGAGGGGGTCACTGGGAGCCTTTCCTGGAAGGTGCATCTTCCCTGTGGCCCGTCCTCTCTCTTTCTCTCTCTCCCCTTCCTGGCTGCCATGAACTGAATGGCTCTCCCCCACCACGCCCTCCGCCATGATATCCTGCCTCACCTTGGGCCCAGATCAGCTGGCGATGGAATGAGTCTCTGAAACCATGAGCCAAGATAAACTTCCTCCTCTGCGTCGTTCTTGTCAGACGTCTTGGTCAAGGTGACCGTAACTAGCTAGCACCCTCGGTCTTCCTCTCCTGTCTCCCCAGCCCTGACCCAGGCTGAGAAGGCTCAGGAAAGCAGGAGGACTTGGGCTCATCTACCTTTTCACCTGTGCTCCTCACAGGCTTTGCCCCCCAACGGAGCTGCCCATGGCTGAAGGTGGCCCTGTCCTCCTCGAGGCCTCAGCTCACCTCAGACACCGCACTGCCATGCCAGACCAGCGCCTGGACTAGCTTGCAGGGAAGGGTCACAGTAGGCCAGGTTTGCGTGGCTGATGAATAAACCAGAAGCCATATTTTTTCATTTATAATGAGCAATGAAAATGTAATAAGCACTGAACTACTTTCAGACAAGAAGTCCTCCCTTCACCTGCTATTCTAGGTCTCTTTTTGAACAGGGTCACAGGGGCTGAGTGTCCCAAGGCACCAGGTACTGTGCTGTCACCTGGCCTCACATGGGTGACCCCACTGCTTCCTGTCATGGGTTGGGCTGTCCCAGCCCCCACACCTGAGGCTCAGGCTCCCTCTCCCCGGCCTCCCGCAGTGGACATGGCCCATTCCTGTCCTCTCTTCTGCTGTAGAAGAAAAACAACACTGAGCTCCCTCACGTGCTTACCTTCATACATGTGCATTTGCCTCCGTGGGACACGCGGGGAAATCCAAGCACAGGTACCGGGCTGAGCATGGAGGCTGCCTCCTCCGGCCTCCTCTCCTTGCTGTCCAGCACCTAAAACCACACATGGCCCAAGCTCAATAAAGAAGAAACAACTGGAGGGGGACGTGCAGTGGCGTCTCTCTCACCACAGAGGAGCCCTTTCCCAGGGCAACAGACCCCAAGTGCTGGCCTCAGCTCTCCAGGTGTCCCATGAGTGCCCTGGCCACACAGAGGACCTCGCTGCCCATGCTTCCTCCCTCCCTCCCAGCACTGGGTCAGCGCCCTGCTGCTCCCAGGCCTGGAGCTGCTGCATAACTAGGGGCCAATGACTAGGGGCTGTGGCCTTATCTGTGGCCCTCGCTGAGCAAAACTTTATGCAGCACATGCCTAGATACGTGTGAAAAACAAGCTCGTGAAAAGACACAGGTGCCGTCGGTCATGAGTGAAATGTCACCGAAGAGCACAGGGGCTATGCTAGCCAGGCACTGGGATAGCTGGGACGTAAAAGACCAACTGCTGGCAGGACACCAGGTGACTGGAGCTCCCGGCTCACCTCACGTGCTGCAGACATGTGGCTCAATCACTTTGGAAGAGATTGGCAGATACACCTACCATTTGACTCAGGTGTCCCACACCTACTTATTGACCCAAGAGGATAAAAGCATGTGTCAGCATTGGAAAGACAGCATTAGAAGGACCAGCCACCTATTACCCACAACAGCTGGACCTATTTCAGAATATTTAGGGTCAGTGTCAGGGCCGGCAGAGGAAAACACGCTGCAAGGTTCTATTGATAGCAGGACTCTAGAAAATGCAATCTAATCTACATGGCAGAAAGCGGTCAGTGGTCACCTAAAGCTGGGGGCAGAGGAAAGAACACAACGAAGAAACCACCAAGGGGTGTGTGGGAGCTGCCGGAGGAGAGACGCGCAGTGGCTCGGTGCAGGGATGGTCCCATGGGTTGAACACGCGTCAAAACATGGCAATACTACACATTTGCTGTGGTTTGTCCCCCAAGGTTCATGGGTTGGGAGTTTGGTCCTCAGTTTAACAACATTGGGAGCAGGACATTTTAAAGAGCTGGGGGTCTAATGGGAGGTCCTAAGATCAGTGGGCTCTGCCTTGAAGGAAGAGTGGAACCCCAGCCTCTCTGCTGATGTTTTGCTGTAGGATCTCTTCCTCCCCCATCTTCCAAGGTGCCCTTACCAGAGCCTGCGATGCTGTTTAGACTTTCAGCCTCCAAAGCTGTAAACTAAATAAACCTCTTTTCTTTATAAAGAACCTGCCTAGGGCATTTTGATATAATTAAAAAATGACTAATGCAATATTAAACGGGCACCATTTATTGTATATCATTTATACCTTGACAAACCTGAAAAAAAAAAAAGAAAGAAATGCACCCCAAAATAATGAGAAAGTGAAACAGAATGCAAACTCTTACCTTTTGTTTGATTGTCTGTTAATTTTGTTTTGTCTTGTTTTGTTGGTACTGGGGATGGAACCCAGAGGAGCTTTACAACTGAGCTACATCCCAGTCCTTTTTTATCTTTTATTTTAAGACAGGGTCTTGCTACATTGCTGAGGCTAGTCTTAGACTTGTGATCCTCCTGCCTCAGCCTCCAGAGTCACTGGGATTACAAGTGTATGCCACTGCACCTGGCAACAAACTCTATCTCCGATACAAACTCCATCTCCAAGTGAGAACAGAAGCAAAATAAAACCCCACCTGGAAACAGGCCCAGGACTGCCAAAGGCAGGAAAATGGAGCAGCATTCTGGAAAGAAGCAGGGAGGGGAGAACACAGCTGCTCACCGAGGTCCCTCCGGTGCCCAAGCTCCTGACAGTGGCACTGGGAACACAGCTGGGATTGGCTCCAGGAAGCAGAAGAAGCAAATCAGAGAAGGAATCGCATGCTAGCTGTGTTTATAGGAAGCACAAAGCCGTGTTTGCATCGCAGCCCTACAACCACCCCCAGGAGCAGCACTGCTGGAAACACCCCCAGAGCATCCCAGCAAGGCAAGCCAGGGGCAGGAGTGACAGACCCAGGGGCCCGGCACACACCCAGAACGGAAGGCTGAAAGAATGAGCAAAAGTGTTCAAAGATATAATCCAAGAAAATTTCCAGAAATAAGACTTGAATCTACAGGTTGAAAGGACAGGGATGTCGTGGGGGACAGAAGGTGACTAGACTTACAATGTAAAACGAAAGGAGGGAAAAAGCTAAGGAGAAAACCATCCGGGCAACCAGGCCGAAAAGTCAAATCTCCTTCTAAGGATAAAAAGTACAAGTTAGACTCAGACTTTTCCACTGTGTCCGGGAACTCAAGAGACAGAGTCTTCTGCAGGCTCCTCATAGGAAGTACAGAAGTGGGACCCAAGAACATGGCACCCTGACAAGCTTTAAACAAGATGAGAGAGTGTATGAGCAAGAGCACAATTTACAACAAATAGTTCACTAGGTATGATCCAGAGAAGGCAGCACCAACATTCACAAAGCATAAGCAAGGCATAAAAGAAAAAATAGAAGCCAGGTGTGTGGCACACACCTGAAATTTCAGCAGAGGCAGGAGGGTCACAAAATTAAAAATTTAAAGAAGGAGCGGGTGTGGCTCAGTGGAGAGCACCTCTGGGTTCAATCACCAGTACGGCAGAAAAAAAGAGACAGGGAAATAGAAAGAACCACATTCGTACTGAAAATCTACCGAGTTCATAATCCAGTGACAGATGCATAAATGAAATGCAAATAAGGACCCAGGGAGCAGAAAGGAGAACGTGCTCTTCCAAAAACCAATGAAGCAGTCACAAAAATCAGTCATCAAAGAAGGCCACAAGGAAGAGCTCAGTGAATTCCGAAAAGAAGAACTAATGGAAACAGCATTCCCTCAGTTGCACAACAGTGCCATCAAACAAAAATGTCTGAGGAACCTGAAGGAGGGGAACAGCCGCCACCTGGGGAGAAAATGCCTAAGTCGTGAGTCAGAGGGAAGTCAAACCCAAAGCAAGGAAGGCAGAGAAATAAACAGCCCAGAACACCGGAGTGCAGAGTGCAGCCAGTGCAGCATCCGTGGGACTCTGGCTAAATGCGTTCTCACAGGAAATTTCACGGTTTTAGTAACTTGTGTCTAAACAAGTAAACACAAAAAGGAACAAGGTATGCATCCAACATGAATGTCAGAAAACAAAATGATCCTTTAAAAAGTGGATGGAAAGGGCTGGCGATACAGCTCCGTTGATAGAGGGCTTGCCTCGCATGCACAAGGCCCTGGGTTCAATCCCCAGCACCACACACACACACACACACACACACACACACACACAAGTGGATGGAAAGAAATAATACACACAAAAAGTACAAGTTCATGGCCAACGAAGCCAATGCCCAGGCTTCTCTCCCTGTGCTGTGTGTGCTCCTGACATGGGCCTGCCCCCTGCTCCCCCCTGCCTACCCTGGGATCCCAGGTGCTCCCCCAAAGGCCTGCTCTGCCTGCCCCCTCCCACCTTCCTGACATCCTCCAAGCCTGGCCCACCTGGAGAAGTGGTGGAAGGAGCAGCATCCAGGGCTGCAGGCTGGGCTGACAGGCCCCAGAAGTGGCCACTTTGGTGGCTGACTGGGTAGAAAGCAGGTGAAGGCTGGGGACAGAAGGCAGATGCAGGGCTGCTCGCCCCGTGGATCCCCTATAGCAAAGTTTCCAGACTTGAAAAGTACCCAGCCCAAGCCCCTTCCCCAGGTGTCCTGCCGGGTCACACCTCTCCATCATCTGGTTCTGAAACACAAAGAGCCTGGGGGTACAAAGAGTGTCCTGGGGTAGAGAGAAACCATGTTTGAGTCCTGAGCTGGGAGTCCAGAGCCATCTCTGCTTCCCACTAGCAGCGTGACTCAGGCCCACACCTTCACGGGCAGCCCTGGGGTCCTCGAGGAGAAGATGGCTTCCTCAGCAGCAGCTGAGGGTCCTGAGTCATAAGTACAGCTGGAGGTATGTGACCAGGGGCTGCCATTCTTCTCCCAGCTGCCCTGATTCACTGCAGGTGACTGGCCTCCAGGACCTCAGCCTCCTCTGGAGAGGTCAGATGTGAATGAGGAGGTGGGTGGCAGCCTTGGACGCACCATCCCTGCCTTGTGAGATGACACTGGTTCCAATTCAGTGTGCCTGGCTCCCCGCTCAATGGGCTTTGTCCCAGAGATGTAATTTCTATTTTGAATCTATGTGGCATTTAATGAAATGGCTTTCAGACACCACGCAATGTGTCTGAGTTATAAAACCACAGTTCTGGATCCTTAGCACACCTCGCAGGGCAGGCAGGCCCTGGATACCTGCCCAGCAGGACCTTCATCCTGGGGCCTCGGTGATCCCCTCCCACCCCCCAGGAGGCCCTGGAGCCCTTGGATCCCTGGCTGGACTCTCCTCCCTTGGTCTCCCTCTCTGTAATCCAGCACTGTTCAAACCAGAGATCAAAACTATTCAGAGACAGGAAATCAGCGCCGAGGGCTGGAAACAGCACTTTAAAACAACAATTCAAACAGAAGAGAAGCGTTCACGTGGGAAGGCGGTGCCCACGGGAAGGGTGGCTGCTGCCTGAGACCAGAGACTTGGCTGGTATGCAAATCTGATCATGTCACTCCTCAGAAAAACTCACAGGGCTTCCGAACAGAGTTCAGACCCCGCAGCATGGCATTGTGGCCCTGCCGACCTGGCCCTGTCCTCCCCACCTACCAGGCCCACCCCTGACTCCAACCACTGAGCCGCTGGCTCCTGTGACCACGGGCTCTTTCACACCCACTACAAGAACAAAAGTGCCCCTCTCCTCCTCCCTGCCTCCCCCTCCCCTCCCCAGCCTCTCCCTCCAACTGGAAGACCACCTCTTTTTGATGTCCTCCCTGATCCAGCAGCCTGGGCCACTCTGCCCTGTGCTCACACTACAGTTCCCACAGGGTCATCACCCCGCCACCTGCCCGGGACTACCTTATGCCTCCCCAACTCTACCCAGAGGACGTGAGCACACTGGGGTGAAGTTCCATTCCCCCAACACACGCCTGCTGATGTCCTTGGGGGAAGATGACCCCCTGGATTCTA